TATGGATGTTACCCTACTTTGCTAGATGTTTAGGATTTTTATGTTTTGCTCTTCTAAATAGATGCATATGCCTGCATTTTTGCACACTTACATAATTATTTCATTTAGATAAACTAGACATAAAACTACTATGTCATACAGTATACCACTACCAGGGCTTTTGATGCATATTTTGCATCCTGGCGCTTTTAAAAACATCAAGCATTTGTTCTTCTAATACATACCTGTTGAGATGGTCTCAGACTCCCAGGTATCCTTTGCCAGTCTCGCCTTCTGAGATGGTTCTCAAATCACTCTGGATAATCTCAGTTGAGGGAACCTCTGGGAGGTTGTGGGATTCCAGCTCCAGAGAGATACCTCTATTCTCAGGGGATGTTAAATCAGAGCCCCCAGGAGTCTAGGCAAAAAAGCTCTAGTTTTTCCTCTTTAGAAAATTCCAGATTTATGAGAGGCAGAGTCAGCCCTGGACTAACCTGAGACCCAGTTCCTATAATTCTTCTTATAGAAGTCAAAACCTTTATATTTCAGAACTAACTCCAGAGTGTGTTGTCCAGAAAAGGAACCAGAGTAGTAGACTTAAAATTCCATGGATGTTTTTAATTTTTTAAATTTATAATGAAGAAAATAGTGATGATTAGATTGGAGTGGGGGGAACCCCACACTCGGAAACAGTTGTTTTTATTGGATATTTGAAGGAGTAGTATATGAAAGAGTAACTGTATTTGAACTTTCCTATCCCAAGGGGGGAACTGAAACCTTTGAATAGAAATGAGAGGAATGTCGTTTTTAGCTTTATACAAGAAGGTATTAAATTAATAGCTAGAGCTGCCTGATAGTAGAGTAGCCTACCTTTTAAGATGGTATCTTGTTATGTTAAATATCAAGCAAAGGCTGAAATGCCAGCTAACAAAGATACTAGTAAAACTGATGTCAGCCAATAAAGGTCAAAGTAAAATTAATTCAGAAGTTCTATCCTTTACAGCCTTTGCAAAATGTGGTTGAAACTATTGGCAAAGAAACCCAGCAAAATTATAGTAATGTGTGCATTCAACTGCTGAGAAATTTTCTAGATAATCTGTAGTTTTGGTTATTCAGTATATTTGTGGTTGTTTTCAGGTATTACTTTCCAACTTATGAAAATGACACTCTGCTCTGTACACTGTCTGACAGTGAAAGTGACCTGACAGCTCAGGAACAAAATGGAAATATTGCCATCATTAGTGAAGATACATCTAAACTGCATGCTTTGAAACAAAGCAGTATTTTGAACCAGTTGCTACTACATGAGTCCTTGAAAAACTAGAAGAAACTGCCACAGAAGCAATGTTTCATGTTTTCTCCTATGAGACAGACACGAAAGAATACTTTAAAGTTGAACATCAGCAAAGGATTAGTCCTTGGTAAAATAAACTTTTAAAAAAATGATTTTTTTCCAAAAGTAAAGTAGAAACTAAATAAAATGAAGGCTTTTTGTATTTTGGATCTAAAGTTTTATTATGTAATCATTGTAACTCATATCTATAATAAGGAAGGCATGTAAATCAGAAAGAAATGAAATGTTCAAATTATTTATAAATCTGATTTCAACCAGTAGTTTCAGCCTCCTCCCCACAGACTATCTTCATCCAACAAGTCACAAAATTTGATGGATGTGTGCTTTTTGTACTACATTGGGTCACCTGTAAATGTGGTGACCAGCAGAGGAGCTGCAGAAGAGAGGAGCAGTGGTCAACGTCCTGGACGATGCACGCTTTGGACACTGTTCGGGGATAATCAAGATGTGACTATGTTATTATTATTGCTTTCCACCTAGAATTACTAAACTTAAACTCCTTAAAAATGAACTTCAAGACAACTTCACTTTCCCCATGGCTAACAGATGAGTATCATTTTTTTATAAACATGACCACAATAACATGATCACATTTAAATAAAATTAACAATAACTTCTTAGTATCATGTTTTCCATTGTCCCTGGTTGAAAAGTGTGTTTAGTCTGCTGCATCTGGTGCTGTCAGTCTGAAGCACCGTTATAAAGTTTGCCATCAAACCATTTTAGTGTCCATTGGTATATATTATCTAGAATACTATTTTTAGGGCTTGCAAAACGGTGATTTTCTAATTCTATCATTTCTTTACCAGTGGGTTCCTTACAGCGTGGGTGCTCGAGAGCACTGGAGTCTGAAGTTTTCGTTTTCTTTTTTAATTTATTTTTTAATTGGAGGAAGATTGCTTTACAGTATTGTGTTGGTTTCTACCCCACAGCAACTCAAATCAGCCATAATTATACATATATCCCCTCTCTCAGGAGCCTCTCTCCCCTCACCCCACCCCTCCAGTCCATCACAGAGCACCAAACTGATGGCAGCTTCCTGCCAGCTATCCATTTTACACATGAGCGTGTATAACATGTCAGTGCTACTTTTTCCATTTTCCCACCCTCTCCTTACCCCACTGGGTCTACGAGTCCATTCTCTACATCTGTGTCTCCATTCTGCAGTTCTAGTTTTCAGTTATTAGTGCCAACTTATGGAGGCATTGCCCCAAGACTAATCTTGAAGTTGTATGGTATGACCTGTGCAGAATCTCAAGACTAATCTCCCACTACGTGATCCAAAATTGACTAGAATTGTAAGTTATTATGAGCTCTGGCCAAGGCCCCATGCAGGCACCCATAATAAGGCTTTTCATTGAAAACCAGCAAACAATAAATAGGAGCCCTTACTGAATGAAAAAACTACCTGTTAAAGACACAAGTTGTTTTAAATAAAACAAAAGTCAGGCTTCTCTGGTGGTCCAGTGGTTAAGAATTCGCCATGTAATGCAGGGGACACCAGTTCAATCCCTGGTCCTGGAAGATCACACATGCAATGAAACAGCTAAGCCCATGGGCCACAACTACTAAGCCTGCACTCTAGAGCCTGCAAACTGCATCTACTGAGCCCACATCCTGCAACTACTTAGGCAAGAGCACCTAGAACCTGTGCTTTGAAACAGGAGAAGCCACCGCAGTGAGAAGCCCATGCACCGCGATAAAGAAGAGCCCCCACTTGCCACAACTAGAGAAAGCCTGCATGCAGCAACAAAGACCCAGCACAGCCAAGAAATTAATAAATAAATCTTTAAAAAAAAAAAGAAAAAAGGTCAAGAAGGTGATTATCCTGTGCCTAGAAACTTGGATCTCTAGAAACCAGGTCTGTTCAGGAAATCAAGGAATGTCTGGAGTGTTCCTGGAATGTGCTTCAGTCTCAGGACCGAAACAATGACAGGATGAGAACAAATAAGTGAAGGGTAACTAGGCTTTAGAAGGAGAAACCTTTTTTGGAGATAAAGTTGAGATCTTGCAGAACAGATTCAATAGACATTAACGGAAAAGTGAAATTGAAGGACAGACTTTCAATGTCTGTCCTGTACTTGAAGGGACAGGATACTGTACTTGAAGTTTCATTCATTTAAGAGGTTATCTCTTAAATTGGTAGATATTTGGTGGGATCATCTGGAACATAAGGACAGAAATAATTAACTTAGTTCCAAGGAAATTGAATAAGAATATAAGCAAAGCCTCAGCAACCTGTACTAACTGTCCCAGAGGGAGCACGGAGCACAGATACAGGCCACTACTGTGCAGAGTGCTCTGTTAGAGCCACACAGAGCATCCTTGGAAAGAACCCCTAGGGAACTGTTCCTTCAAGACATGACAGCGGTGCCAAATGTACCTGAAAGTCTGAACCACTTGAGAGGGGAATAGCAGTCCAATGCAAGTAAACTATTCACAGGATTATTAAAGGAGTTTCCAGATATCACTATAATGTGCCCAGAGGGAGCACACCTGAGAAATGTTGAGAATTAAGACTCTAAATGAAGGCAACAAGAAAGGCGAAACATAGTAGGCAAGAGTGACCAGGACAATGATAAATGAAATACAACCCTGAATTGGCATGAGCCCAGTCAAAAAATCCATGCTGAATATCTAACTCGGAAAAGTGAGAGTGCCCAAGGTTTTTTTGAACAATGATTGCCTTTGAGAAGACCAGAATCTAGTAACTTATCTCTCAGAACACAAGACTCCATTAGACAAAATCTAGGTGAGAAAGGTAACACTGTCTGGACCAGAAAGGAGAGTTAAGTTTTTGTTTTTTTTTTTTTTAAAAAGGACTCATCAGATCTGACACATACTATTAGACTATATGTGTTAGGGAAGGACAGGGATCAACTTAAGAAATAAGTTATACTGTGACAAACTCAGCTGTTCCTCCTAGCAAGGTATAGTGAGGAAATCACACACTAGGACATATCCACTATTGCTGGATAAGGCAGAGCAGAGAGGATTACTGCCGGAGGCCTGGACCAATCAAAAGCAGGAGAAGTTCTGGTATGCTGAGGAGGCTTGCCAGAGGTATGTATCCTCACCACTGCTCTTAGTCTGGTAGTCCAGTTCCCTTCAGTATTTGTTTATTTCTAGTAATAATACTTCCCTGGTAGCTCAGATGGTAAACAATCTGCCTGCAGTGAGGGAGACCTGGGCTTGATCCCTGTTAGATCCAAGTAAGATCCCCTGGAGAAGAGAATGGCAACCCTCCAGTATTCTTGCCTGGAGAATTCCATGGACAGAGGAGCCTGGTGAGCTACAGAGTTGCAAAGAGTTGGACACAACTAAGCTACATGGACAAAGGAGCCTGGCAAGCTGCAGGGTCACAGAGAGTCAGGCACAACTAAGTGACTCACTTTCCTTTTCACTTCACAATAATAGTAATGTTTGGTTGGGTATATGGCTGCCTAGAATGAAGACCACATTTCTCAGCCTCTCTTGCAGTACAGAGTATCTATCATATTTTGCTATATTGGACTTCCCTGGTGGCACAGACAGTAAAGAATCTGCCTACAATGCAGGAGACCTGGGTTCGATCCCTGGGTTGGGAAGATCCCCTGGAGAAGGAGATGGCAATCCACTCCAGTACTTTTGCCTGGAGAATCCCATGGATGGAGGAGCCTGGTGGCTACAGTCCATGGGGTCGCAGAGAGCTAGACAAGACTGAGCGACTTCACTTATTGCATTTATCAAATACTGCATTTTCTACAAATTGATGTTCATGGCAGTCCTGCATCAATCAAGTTTATCAGCTTCATTTGTCCAACATCATTTGCTTACTTCACGTCTCTCCCATTTTGATAATGCTCACAGTATTTCAAACTTTTTCGTTATTATAATATTTGTTATGGTGATCTGTGATCATCAATCTTTGATGTTTCTGTTGTCATTGTTTTGGGATGCCATGAGCACACCAAAACAGCCCATTTCTCTCTTCAGGCCTCCCTATTCCCTGAAACACAGTATTGAACATAGGCCAATGAATGTTGGCCTCTAATTGTTCAAGAAAGAGTCACATGTCTCTCACTTTAAATAAAAAACTAGAAATTGTCAAGCTTAGTGAGGAAGGCACATTGGAAGGTGAAACAGAAAAGCTAGGCCTGCCAAACAGCCAGGTTGTGACCACAAAGGAAAATTTCTTGAAGGAGATGAGAAGTGCTACTCCAGTGAACACATGCATGATAAGGCAAAACAGCCTTACTGCTGATACAGGGAAAATTTTAATGGTCTGGATAGAAGATCAGACAAGCCACAATATTCCATGAAGCTAAAGCCTGATCCACATCAAGGCCCTAACTCTCCTCAGTTCTCTGAAAACTTGAGAGAGGAGAGGAACTTGCAGATGAAGTTTGAAACTGCCAGAGGGTGGTTGATGAAGTTTAAGGAAAGAAGCCATCTTCATCACACCAAAGTGCAAGGTGAAGCAGCAAGTGCTGATGCAGAAGCTGCTGCAAGGTACTCAGAAGATCTAGCTAAGATAATTTACCAAGGTGACTATTCCAAACAACAGATTTGAGTGTAGACAGAGCAGCCTTCTGTTGGAAGAAGATGGCATCCAGGACTTTCATAGCTGGAGGAAAGATGTCAATGCCTGGCTTCAAGCCTTCAGAAATCAAACTGACTCTCCTGTTTGGGCTAATGCATCAGGTGACTTTAAGTTGAAGCCAGTGCACATTTACCATTCTGAAAATTGTGGGGTTCTTAAGAATTATGCGAAATCTATTCTACCTGTGCTCTGTAAATGGAACAAAAAGCCTGTGTGACAGCGCAACTGTTTTATATGTTTGACTGAGTATTTTGAGCCCACTCTTTAGATCTGCCCAGAAAAAAAGATTCCTTTCAAAATATTAGTGTTCATTGACAATATACCTGGTCACCCAAGAGCTGTGATGGAGATGTGCAACTGGATCAGTGTTGTCTTGATGTCTGCTAACCCAGTATCCATTCTGTAGCCCATTGATCAGAGTCATTTCAACTTTTAAGTCTAATTATTAATAAATGCATTTTCTAAGACTCTTGCTGCTGAAGATAATGATTCTTCTAATGGATCTGGGCAAAGCCAGTTGAATCCTTCTGGAAGGGATTCAGCATTCTAGATACCACTAAAAGTATTTGTGATTTCTGGGAAGAGGTCAAAATATCAACATTAACAGGAGATTGAAAGAAGATTCCAATCCTTGTGGATGACTGAGGAGTTCAGGACTTCAGTAGAGGAGATAACTGCATGTGTGGTAGAAATAGCAAGACAACTAGAATTGCAAGTGGAGCCTGAAGATGTGACTGAACTGCCACAACCTCATATAAAACATGAATGGAAGCAAAGTTGCTGCTTAAGGATGAGCAATGAGAGTTGTGTCTTGAGATGGAATCTGTTCCTGGTGAAGATGCTGTGAAGATTGTTGAAATGACAACAGAGGATTTAGAATGTTACATAGACTTAGTTCATAAAGCAGCAGCAGGGCTTGAGTGGATTGACTCCAATTTTGAAAGAAATGCTATAGATAAAATGCTATCTAAACAGCATTTTATGCTGCAGAGAAAGCATTCGTGGAAGGAGGAGTCAGTCGATGAGTCAAACTTCATTGTTCTATTTCAAGCCAGCCTGACTTTCAACAGCCATCACCCTAATCAGTCAGTACCATCAATATCAAGGTAAGACCTTCCACCAGGAAAAAGATTATGACTCACAGATGATGGTTAGCATTTTTTAGCAGTATTTTTAAAATAAGGTATGTACATTGTTTTTTTAGACATAACACTATCACACAGTTAGTATAGTGTAAACAACTTTTATATGCACAGAGAAATCAAACAATTCATGTGACCTGCTTTCTTGCGATACTCACTTTGTTGCAGTGGTCTGGAACCAAACCTGCAGTGTCTCTAAGGTATGCCTGTACTTACATGTCTTCCTTAAGAAGCTCCGCAGAAGTACCCTTTGCTTTACTTTCATCCTTTCCTACCTTCTTTTGCTTAGGATGTAGATGTCTGCAAGTGGGACAGTGAGGTGTAGCTGGAAGGCTACACCAGCACTGGAACGCTGACCTAGACGTTTATGTGAGCAAAGTAAACTTCAACCTTCTCCCTGTTATTTTGGATTTCCTATCATTCATATCTGAAACTAATCCTAATACACCTAGAAATTCAAGCTGCAGAAATGTCAACTACAGCTTTAGTTCAGGAGCCTAGTGAGGACATTTTCCAGCTGAAACAAACTGCGGGGGATGAAGGGAAAACTCCCCTTACATGGCAGGCTTCACACACCCAAGTGATTCCACAGCAAAAGGCAACAGTAGGAGCCACTGTGTCATTACTTAAAGCCCAGATTCCATGGATCAGGGGATGTTGGAGACAGAGGGTTGAAAGGGGAAATAGAAGTTAAGGGGTGTTAAGTGTCAAGGTGGGAGAGAAAGATCTCACAACAGACTCATGGCTGGCCTTCCCATCATTGCAAGGATGCAAAAATTGTGGGGAATAACATTCTTCTTTACACTCTTAGGTTCTCTGACTGGGTCTGCACAATAGTCTGATAACAGACATATTAAAATGAGAAAATACATACAAGTTTCTTTGATGTTACAAATTTTACATGATGAGGGAGTTTCCCAGAAAGAGAGAAAACTCACAAAGAAACAACTTAAAGCTGGAGGTTTTATATCATTTGAACAAAAGGTTACATTTAAAAAGTGTCAAGGGTGCATAGCTAGCTCAGTCAGTAGGGCATGATACTCTTAGAAATGTGAAGACAAATGGAAAGGACTTGGGAGCTTCTAGGGGCAGCAAACTGTAGGAAGGCAAATATATGAGCAACCAATGATAGCTAACTAACCTAGTTAGTAAGGTTTGGTTGTGTAGACTCATGGGACCAGCCTGTCTCCTATATTACTAGAAGTTGTCATTCTCTTTCTGGTATGGACAATGAGGGGCTGGCACTGGGATGGGGAAACCTTCACAGAGGAATTTGTGATACCATTTTTCACAAGATAGGAGACAGCAAAGAGCTCATATTGTGCCTGCTTTTGCTCAGTTTCCTTCAGCTCAAAATAATCCTTATGCCAGAGGGCATATATTGGGATGGTGTATTCTGACCTCCTATAGTCTCATATGTCACCCTGAGAGAAGTATCTGTTGATTCTTCCCACAGGAATGGCAAAATATGTTGCTAGCTTTAACTTCTTGAGGGAGCTTCCTCCCAGTTGAGTCTATTTACAGATCAAGGATTCAGATAACTTACACAGATGGACTAGCATCCTGTGAAGCCCGAATCAAGATGACACTGAGTCTCATTTATAAAAAGTGCAAAGTTCTGGAAGCATCACTTTGTCTTGATAACTACTTGAAGGTCTTGGTATTGATTTTTTTCTATTGTTTCATTTTGTTGGTGTTGAGTACTTTGATGATACTCCTTAAAAAGTGACATATAATGGAAATGTGCTGTTTAACTTCTGAGACTGAAAAAAGCCGCACCAGTGGTTCTAATGAGACCCTGTCCAAGCTGCTGAAAGAACCACAGATATGAAGAACCCCTCTGGTTCACAATGAGCAGAATTTGGGACTTCTCTGGCTGTCCAGTGGTTAAGACTTCGATTCCACTGTGGAGGGCATGGATTTGAACCCTGATTGGGGAACTAAGATCCTACATGCTGCCTGGCACAGCTGGGGGCAGGGGGTGGGGGGGATGTCAGGCAAGAATTAGAACCTGGGAAGGACAAGTTTTAGGCTAATGCCTTTTAACTTTAACTCAGGCAGAAAAGAGAATTCTAATCTTAGAACTCCGATTTCTCCCTGGGAAATTCACAATGGTAGAGGGGTTGTATTTAAATTGGGAACATCAGTATTTTACTGGAATATTTTCTCCGAAAACATCTTTACAGCGTTATATAATCTCCTGGCAGAACCTCTACTAGACTGTCCGAAACAGCATGGTTAGATATAATTCAGAATGAAAAGTGAACTGGGGAACTTTCTGCTGGGCTCCGCATGGCCTATGATCACTTCAGTCACTAAATGGCCTTCTTGGGGCAGTAGCTACACTTTTCGCCACCAGGACCAGGAGAACGCACAAAGAAAGGGTAGTCGCCATTTGAGTGGGAAGGGTGGGGGTAGGACCATGGTGGGGGCTACACTGGCATCGTATCAAAAGATGGTTGATCTCCTGCAGGGGAGCCGGTCACACTCTGAGTCGGCCCAGAGTGTAGTGGTTAAACCCAGGGAGCTAAGTGAATAAAAACCTGGGGAACGTTGGAAAGAGGGAACTCCTTTCCTCTAGCATCTTGTTTCTATGAGGAAAGGAATCCATTACAATAACATTCTGGGTTTCTTTCTGGCCCCACTCATTCCTACAAGGGAGGAGTGAATTTTCTAACGGGAAATTTGGAGAATAGGAGCTCGGCATGTGTGACGCAGCCCCTTCCTCCTCCTTTTTCTCTTTGGGATCTGTCTCCACAGAGAAAACACACCCTGTTCCGCTCCTCCTTTCTGCAGACTTCAGAGTAGCAGGCTCTGCCGGGGCAGTTGGGGTCCTTCAGCTGTCCACCACTGCCTACGACCTTGTGCACGAGACTGCCCGGCTTTGGGGTTCAGTGTTAGAAAGCTCTCTTGCCCACGGCTCTAAGCCCTGTTTTTTAAAATCATCTTTATTAGCAATAATGGTGATATTTCATCTCCATCTGCTTGACTCATGTTTCAGCTGGCTCTTCTGTAAGGTACAGTCTCTCAGCAAATGGAAGTTGTGGCCAGAATTACTAGAATACTACCTCTCAGAGAATTAGCACTAAATACACTAAGTCCCAGTAATCAGGAGACAAAGCAGACTTAGTTCCATTCAGGACTAGGGCTGAGCGATAAAGCCCTAGAATTCTAGAATGTCATTGGTGAGCTGGCTGCATGAATACTATTTGAAAAGCCATTGGAACTAGAGTCTTAGGCTAAGTCTCCCCAGAAACAGACCTTAAGAATTTGAGGACAGGTGGTCAGTTTGAGAGGTAAATCCAGGAGATACCAGTTCAGAAAGTGAAAAATAAAATGGAAGGAGCACAGAACCGTGTGCATTAAAGAAGCCTTACTGAGTACCTCTGAGTACTCAGTACTATGCAACAAGTGTTGCATAGAACACTTGTTAGAGGTGCCCTCTGCCTACCAGCACCACCAAGGGGCAAAGAGCTGGGGATATTTGTCCACCAACTCCACTGGTCATGGGTTGAGCCTTGCACATAGGTCTGGTGCCCTCAGGAGACTGGTGAAAACCCTCACACAAAGACTGAAGAAGCTGTAATACAGAAGGGCCTGAACAGTAACTGCTACAACTACAGATGCTGTATTTCACAAAAGTAAACATGTTATGTAAACCTTAGCAGTCCTCACAGCTTCTTCATATTGACCTTCAAAACAGTGTTGTGAGGTATCTAGTCAGGAACTTGGATCCTAAACAGGAATAAAAAGAGGTCAAGATAACTGACGATCAGAGAGATGGAGCGGAGCACAGCAAAGAAATCCATGACATGACACATGGAAATTCAAAATGAGACAAAGCCAAGTCCCGAAGTTCTTTAATGAATGAAGTAATAGGAATTGTTTTTGAGAGGATGGAGTCGAACTTGAATGAGAACAAGAGTAAATTCTTTACTTTGCTGAATTTATATGTAGAATTAACATACCAGTCCACTTCTATCAAGGGCATCAAATTGCAGCTATTGTTTGCTTAGTCTGCAAAACTAGCCACCCTGCATCCTTGAAGTTTAATTCAACTATGTCTGTAAGCTTTAGATGATGGATAGCTAAAGGATTAAACCAGGAGCTGTAGTTGAACTCTTAGGCCTTATAATTGATACTTTGAAAAGCTAAAGCACGTTCAGTTCCTGAGGATAGCAATTTGCAAGATTGAATGGCATTGCAAGCATGTTAATTCAAACTGAAAACATTCAGCGAAATTAATATTAATCTCACAGTGTTCTAATATTCAAGTGAAGCTGTGTCCTTTGGGCTTGTAAAATTAGACTACAAAAAGCATTTTTGAGGATATTTTCAGTCACTTGACTTGGATACACAGTGAGCAGTAAATAAAACTCTAGTAAAACCATGTAGATTATGATTTTCAAAAACATTAGAAGAACAAAAGAATATGCTGTGGTAAATTGCAAACAGTAAAAAAAAAAAAAAAATCAAGGAGGAAGAGAAAGACAAATCAAAAAATAAAAATCATTACTTGCTTACTGTCACAAAAGGCAACTCATTTCAACACCTCTGTTGCTGACTACAAAGATGAAGTCCAAACCAGCAGCCATGCCATTGGGATTGACCACAGCCCTAGCTTCAAGGGGTTCCTGCTGGGGGTAAGAACATCACTGCAGAGATTGGGTTATGCAGAGAGGGGCACAGCAAAGGCCTGCGCACCATGACTGGTGCAGGTTGACCCCAAGTGAAGGTGAGGAATCCTGTTATGCTGCTTAGGGAAGCTAGACTGTCCCTTTCCTTTTGGGAAAAAGACACCTGTACCCTGGTTGCTGCCAAAACCACCTTTCAACCTTGAGAGAAACTAGCCCAAAGACTCTCAAGAGAAGGGCGAAGAAGAGAATTCCTGAGAAATGAAACCAGAGCCTTCACCTCAAGGTCCCCTGGACTTTTCAGCTCCTTGGGTCAGTAAATCCCCTTTG